CGCAGATGAACTCAAATAAAGCAACAGGACAGGATGGCATTCCTGCTGAGATCTACAAAGCACTAGACCCAAACACCTTATAGGTGTTCCAAGGTCTTCCAAGGCATTTGGTCCACAGAGGAGATGCCTGACAACTTCTGCCAAAAACCGATAGAAAACAGTGAGTGGCGTCACAGAATAACACCCAGTTACGACAACAATGGCCTTCCAGTGCCCCATTGTGCTAGACTGTGCGCTTCCAGAGTGGGACTGCAGAGCTACCTCCATGTCCACAGACAAATTGCACAACAGCGTGTCTTCTTTGAACCCAAAGGACTACCATATGTACCTGCTGCTGGGTTGATTTACTGAGCTGGGTTGAAGCAAAATAACACAGAAATAATGTGTTACTCTGGCTTAAGATGGGAGATATGAGAACTTGGCTATGTTTCCTTCCCTCCCTCCACAGAGTACACCTTAGATGAGTAGCAGAGCAGACATACAGTATGTGTAAAACTGTCCTGTCTATTTAGGCCTCAAGAAATAGGCCAGCAATAAGGCTTGAAAAACCTGCTAGTGAGCAAAGCCCAGTCTGGCTGGTGGCCAGCAGAAGAAAGAAAGGTGACCCCTGCTGTGTCACATGGGCTGGGAAGGTGAGTCAAGTTACAATTCATGTAATCCTATGCATGTCCACTCAGAAGTAAGTCCAGCCTCTGTTCAGGGGGGCTTACTCCCAGGGGGAAAGGTATAGGGTTGCCACCTGAGAGAATCCTGTTGGTAGAAAGGACACTGTGTTTGCTATATGGCCAGCCTGGGTGTGAAGTGAACTGTTCGGAGAGGGTGAAACTGCACTGATAGCTAGACACAGGCCTATGCAATTTAAGGGCCTAAAAGACACGTATACTATTAATACTATATTAACACAACTGTGCATGCATACAAACACACACACACACATACATGATACACAAATGTGCTTAAGGAATGATCCCTGTTCATTGCTGCTTTTCTCACACAACCTCATTATTTCTATCAGCATGAAAAAAAAAAGAAAACACAGGGGGGAAAAAAAAGACAAAATATTAACCAGGAAACAAGACATTAATCTGAATACGACTGGGCATCAGTGATACTGTAGCGATCGTGGCAGGGCTATTGCAGAGTTTGTTTGGTGTGATGCTTAAGGTGTTGGACGAGAAACCAGGAGGCTGAGTTCTAGTCCTCCGTTATGCATAGATGTTGGTCGGATGACCTTGAGACAGTTGCTCTTAGTCCAACCCTACTTATCCTACCATTACCTAAGGAAAATGGTTTTTGTCTGTTATACCTCCAACAAAATATTTTTATAACCTTATAACATGTTTTTTTAAAACTCTCTCTTGCAGAAAAATACACTGTTAACTGTTTTTATTTTAATAGGCTTCCTGGATGCCCTGATATCTTGGTCATGTCTTGTGAGAGAGCATTTCGCCTTCAAATAATAACTGTATGGTGGCTTGGAATGGTCTCATCAACTTACACAAAAGCATGTTGGGTTTATTACTTTGAAAGGTACTTTCCCATGAGGTGAATATTTGGTACATCTTCCCCACTGCTAAGAAGGAAAAAGAGTTCTGTATGTCTCTTCCTCAAAATGAAGCCATTAATTCCTAAAGGGTTGAAATATTTAGGAATTATATCTGTTTATAAATCAGTACCTCACACATTAATATTTTCACAAACTTCTGTGCCAATGGAAGCTCCAAAATAGTTTTCTGCTCAAATCTTACATATAAAAATAAAATGTAGCATTTTAAAGAATAGCAACTTTGCTTTGGCAAAAGCTGGCAGAATGGATAATGTTGGTGATAGTTCATGAAAACATGCAGCTATAAAACTGAACATATTTTTTTGTCTTCAATACACAAGTTCTTTGATGTTTTTGCTTCGACAGACTAACATGGCTTCCCGTCAATACACGGTAAGAGATATACAGCATTTGGGCCAGTGTTAAACTAAAACAGTTTTAAACTGTTTATGATTACATCTACTGTGGCTTGCAGAATAATAGCTACATTTCACAGTCCTGAAACAATGGCACAGAAAAGAAGCGATGGTGATGGTGGGGGCAGTGCCTGTGACACCTGCACAATGTCATATGAATTAAAAAATTAAAAAATAAATAGAATTGGAGGAGCAAGAAACAAGCGGAATTTTCTGAGCAACAAAATGCCACCTTTTCAGCATCATAAAATAGATTTCTTCCAGCAAGGGATATCAAGCTTTCTCCCAACAATAAACAATAATTTATTTCTGAGGGAAAGTACCCAGATAATCTGCAAAGGTCTTAGGGGAAGCATCAACAAGACCCACAGAAGCTAGAGCTTCCAGAGAGAGGTTGTTCTGTCCAGCTTCTGGAAAGCTTATGTAGCAATAGCTGCATGGAGCTTCAAGCCATACTTGCGATGGGTGAACAGCAACTCCCGATGTAGGTGCTGCTGGTTTCCAGTGGCTTTGCTGGGGTTTATGACCCGCAAAGTGGTGATGGGCTGGGCCTCAGCACCCCTGGATGTGGTTTCTGAGCGAGTAGCTAGAAGGAAGGGAGAAGCGGAATTGAGTTCACTGGGCTGTAGAAGTGAGAGACTAGTTCTGGTTCTAGAGCCCCTCCCTGCCTTACAAGCCTTCACTATCAATATTGGACTTCATGCTGTGGGATGGGGGATACAAAGCCAGGACCTGAGCTCTCGCCCAAAGCCAGAACTGGTGGGAAATCCTAATGAGGGGGGAGGAAATGGGGAACAGTATTCAATGGTGGGAAATGAAATGGACAGGATGGGCAGCAGGTCAATCTTTTTCCCCATTTGGATTGCTTAATTCCCACACTTTTTCCTATGCTCAGCCATGCTTCTTTTTAAAATTAGGACCATACCTGGTTCAGTGGTTTGGTTTTTGTCACTCAAATACCTGCATTTCCCCTGATTAACTGAAGAACTGAATTTAAAACATGTGTATTACCCAAACCTTAGTGTCAGTATCTTTTAAATGCGGCCCTCTCACGTGATACTTTCCATTTTAATCAACTGAACTACTATATTCCTTATTAGAAAGGTTATATTTAATGCTTATCTTTTCAATTTCTATTTCAGAAGCATATTCGTATATTTATCTAAGCTCTGAGTGAAATTAGGTTCCCCACTAGTGAAGGATGGAAAAAATTATAGTGGCTTAAACACCCAGGAGACATGAATATTATTTAAAAGCAGAAGTATTCATTCATTTCAGTTTCACTTCTGCTAAGTGGGTTTTTGTAATATTAAAAAACTTATTTAGCTAGAGGTGGAGGGGTGAAGGAAATAAATTAACACAATCCCACTTGAAATGTTTTCTTAAACTTCCCTCAAGACACACTTTGATACTCTTAAAAAAAATAATCTCCTGTTGAAAGCAACTATGAACATTTTAGTCACTGAAACTGTACTTTTATCATTCCATCATCTTAGCTCACTCCCTTTGTAACAGCATCAACCTCATCGACCCACAGTGGTTGCTCTCACCAGACCCCTCCAGACGTGTCCAGTTGCCTGCCGTGTCCTGCTGCCATGTCACACTGCCTGTCTGTTCCACCCGGGATCCAGGCAAATGGAGGTTCGGAAGCTCCCTGGCTCCCAACTCCTCCACGAAGAGATCGCGTGGCCCAGAGGCTGCCATTCCAACCAGATGAAACAATTACATTGTCTCTAGCTGTCTCTTCTGCGTCTTTCTGATCTGCCACCCCCAGCATGTGCTGGGGGAGCAGAAAGCCAGCAAGAGTGAAACAGGATCCCACTCTAGGCAACTGAGCAGAAACAGAGCCAGGACTCCTGAAGATGATCAGTCCAGAATCCTACCTCAGGCCTAATACCGTAAGGGCAAGCTCACAGCAATTTAAGACTCTTATTGATGGCAGGTTTAATCCAGTCCTTCTAGCAGTTGTTGAATACAACATTGATCACTGGGAATCAGTGGGTGGCATCTATTGGAACTATTGCCAATAGAAGAGAATATACTGTATGTAGCTCAGGGTTGAACTGTGGAGTCCTTGGGGTTCTCTGAGCTTGGTTGTTTTCTTGCAAATGCTTCATTACCCAACTAGGTAACATCTTCAGTGCTAGAAGGGAGTGGGGTATGCTCCCTGTTTATATACAAGAGGTTGCCCTGTCAGTGTTGGTGGGGATGTGGTTTTATCCTTGGGAGTTCCTTGATTAGGCTGTTGTTTACTGCTTGCTTGTATGTCTGACGTGGTAGTTCCTTGATTGGGTATTGTTTATTGCTTGAACTTACTGCCAACACTGACAAGGCAAACTACAGTATATAAACAGAGCGCAAACCCTGCTCCTTTCTAGCACTGAAGATGTTACCTAGTTGGGTAACCAAACGTCTGCAGTAAAACAACCAAGCTCAGAGAACCCCAAGGACTCCACAGGGGGACTAGTATCTTTTGATTACTTTCAGTTCATCCTTAAAGCTTTTCTAGAGCTGCCTTGCGAAGCACAGTACGCCGGCTCTGTGAGCAGTGTCTTCGGTCACCTCTTTGATTCAATAATTCAAAGCAGGCAGTAAAGCTTACGGTATTGAATTTTATTCAGTTTTATCAAGACATCTGGTTCAGCAGTTATACTTGATCCAATCTGTGCAATCTTCCTTATTTTATTGCAAAATGACAAAAACCCACAGGAAGCAACGGAAAAAGTCAAGGAAAAAGCCATTGGCTTGCTGTAATTTGTGGTGTAAAATGTAGTGGGATGGGAGAAGACAGGTAGCTCTGTTGGGAGTTGGATCAGGGGTTGGCCAAAGAGGCATTTATGTTGTTGCTAGAAACATGGATGCAAGATGCATTTATTCATAATCAGTGAGACTTTAAAACATAGATAAGTGCATGTAAGATTGCACTGCCATGTGATTGCAACAGAGTTACAAAGCACCCTGCTAACTCGGCCAGCTGGACCCTCAGGGCCAAATCCAGTTACTTGAAAAGCATCAGTTAACTTAAGTGTGCTATTACTATCTAGTAGTCGCAGGTTTGTACGGAAAGAGGGCTCTGGCAAACGATGCAGTGTGCGATGATTTCCTGATCACCTTGCACTGCCTGCTGAGTGATCTTGCCATGAAACAAATTACTGACCACGTTTTAGAGGTAGGCAATCATAATTACAATTGGAATACAAAGTGAAGGTACTGCATTTCTGAATGGGATTTTAACATTAAAACACTGAAAAAACCACCACCCTCCCCCCAGTGTGTGAAGACTGCTTGTAAAGTGCATATGTGGCCAGTAGGTGGCATCACATTCACATAGGTCTGCCATTAGGACTGCAGACACTCTGAAAACCATTTAAAAACACCAGTCCTTACACTGCACTTCTCTATCGATGAATGCAGCCCTCTTTTCAAGTTTCTGCACAAGCCTGGACAAAGGCGGGTCGGCTTTGAGGAATCCATTTAACACCGTTCTTAAGGCAGCCACACTTTTTTAAAGTTTGCACCACAAAAGCCCAAAAATGGAGGGCTCCTTTTATGAACAGATGTTGCATTCATCCAAAGCCTAAAACGTTCCTCCCGCATCCTTTTTAAAGTAGATGCAGCCTTACTATCTATTGCAGAGAGAAGTTTAATTTTAAGACAAGTTTCCAGGCCTTATCATCATCAAATATTTCAATATGTATAGACAGTACCATGCCAGAGGAATTGGCCATGTCTACTGGCCAGCGAGCAGTTTTGATGTTCAACCTAAATTCTGCTTGCATTGAATGCCATTAAAAAAGAATGATCTAAATTGAGTTTATTTACATAGAAACAGAAAATACATGGAACCCAAGTTTTGTTTTAGAAGGTGCATGTGTGCCTATGAGCATGTAATCACATCTTCCTTTCCAATCCACTCTAAATCATGGATCAGTGGGTCAGAGGAAATGAAACAGGTTAAGGACAGAAGGGCACCATGATGGCAAGCCGAACTCATAGCCTGTTCAGCTTCTGCTCTTATTCCTCATCTTCATACCACAAATCAGCCATGGATTTCACAATGCTCTTTTATTAATATTACAAAATTCCAGTCATCAGTTAAAAATACCCTCCCCCCAATAGCACCTCCTATCCCTCCCATTTCAGTGGGAGACAGGACCCCCCCTTCCCACACCCTGCACTCCTTTCCATTTCAAGCAAGAAAAGAAAAGAAAAAAAGACCTCATAGTTGGTGGGGCGGGGGGGGGGAGAGAATGTAAACTTCAAACACTACAGATTATATGTGGCTCTACAAGGGATGGAAACTTTGTGCACGGATCAACAAAACCAAGGTCTTCCACCTAGCACGTGCTGAGCGTTATTTGTCTGGGAGAAGCACCCACCTGAAGGGAGGACAAACAAACAGATTATGGGCAATCCAAGGCCCCTTCTCCCTGTGTACATGGAAATTCCAAACTCTCTAGGGCAGTTGGCAACAAAGGCAGACAGTGCTCCATTAATAGGCCTCTTCTAACTTTTGCAGTGGTCACCTGGCAGCGGCTGATGTTTCTGCAAAGAACAATGGACCAGACAAGCTAGATCTTGGTGTGAGCCACAAAGGCACTTCTTAAGTCCCTAAACAAAAATGAATGCTGAAGAACAATCGTTAAGGCCTTCCCCATGAAGAAGAGGCTTAGCGGGCCCTCTTGCTTTGTAAATCTGACATGTATCCATGGACCATGGGGTCTGATTCTAATATAAGGAAACGGCCCATACAAGACTTAAGTCAGCCCACCACTGCCCTAAAGCATTCTCCCCAATTGGTCCCTAGCGGATATGCGCCATCTCTTCCAGGAAGGGAGTCTTCATGCAGCCAGTGCAGAGCTGATCCATCCAAAGGGGAGCCTCATGCTGCAAAGGGGTGCGCCGCGGATAAAAGGTGTAATTGAGGTCATAATTGAGCAAACAGCTGAGTGAGGCCATGTAGACGTCCGAGAAGCGGCACAGGCGGCGAGAGAAGTATGTGGGATTGTGGCACGTGCGAAAGATACTGCCAAACTGCGGGTTGAAGAGGTTCTTGGTGAGTGCCCTGTAAGAGCATGGAAGGGGGACAATGAAAAGAAAGAGCGATCAGACAATTCGGACTGCTGGATTTCATTCTCCAGAGATGATTCAGTCAGCAAGGTGGAACATCTGAATGCACGCTGCAAAATGTGCACTCAGATTGAATTAAACAATCTTCTAAGAATCTAGGCTTTAATTTAAAGTAAATATTTAAAATGCAAAATTTCACTTGGCATTACCTTATACCTTGGAACCGTAAGCATAGATTAGGCAACTTTTAATGAGCATTCTCGGGGTCTCTAGGGTGCACACAGCCAATCACATAGTATCCATTTATCAGAAGGTCAGTTCCCACCAAGTTCTATTTACTGGACTTCCCTATTTTATTCTGAGCAAGTGTATACATGTGCAAAACTGTAATTGCAGCTGCCACCGTTTTTACTTTTTAAGAATCTTACAGTGTGGCCAGTAGGCATTTTGCAAATAAAGCAAACAGAAGGTTGCACTTTACCTTGCAGTATGTGGCTTCCTAAAAAAAATTACTGGCTGGCACCAAGACTTGTACACTGCCTGCCCATTAGCTCCGAGTTGCCTTTCCACTGCTAGATTTGATCTAGCGTTGTTTTATGGATGTTACGCCTGAATACTCAAAACACAGAGTTGCTGCTGAATAGGACTGGGGTGTAGAGTGACAAAGCTTACTAAAACAAAGCCTATTAAAACATTATTTCTCTCCATAGCCAAGTACAAACTGAATCAATGAAACCTTCTACATTACATAACTGCACACAGAACATTTTCTGTATCTTCAGTTTTGCACTGTTGTATTCATGTCAGAGAATTCAGCTTCATATTATCATCAAACTTGGATATTTTGTGTTTAGGTGGTTTTTTTAAATCATAGTTTCAAGGCACAGAAGAGTTGCTGAATAAACACTGGCTTCCTTTCCTCTTTATCAGGCAATCTGGGCTAGGGTTTTTTTAATGCAATTCAGTGGCCAGAACAATATATAGCCCTACTATAAACTAAAGGAGCTTATGTCATGCCTAGAGCATACAGATCCAAGGAGAAGGAAACTCAACAGACACCAAATCCAACCCTATCAAATGGGATATGATTCACAACAGCAAAGCCTATACTTATAATTCTCTCACAGAATTTTCAGGGCCTGTGTATGTGCGTGCCAGTGTGCACGTGTGCAAAAGGAAGCTATTGCTCACACCACTCAACACTGAAATAATTACTTTCAACATAAGGGAGGGGTGGAGCTGTTAAAACTGCCAACCATGCCTAGGATTTTTTAAAACTGTATTTAAACTAGCCACGACACTTCAACTACCTCCAAGCATCAAAGGATAGCAAGAGCAGAAAGTAGTTTGTAAACATATAGCTATCCCCCACGCTGCCGACCAGCACAAAGGCTACTCACAACTAATGGTACCAACACTGTTGAAGAAGCTATATTAGAACAAACAGGCATAGAAGAATTCCCAAATCTGTATGAAGGCCATTCTTTGTGATAAGTTTATTTCTGTAAATGTGTGCTGTTATAAATTTTAATTGTACATCTATTTATTGTTTTAGTATGTTGTGAGCCGCCCAGAGTCCCCCACTGGGGGGAGATGGGCAGGGACAAGATAGATAGTTAGATAGATAGGTAGAT